AGAACAATGTGAACAGACAACATAAATAGCTTACCATTTACTTAGTCTTTGCTCAGTTCTCAGTAAAGATTTTGACTTGTACTAAACTTGTATGACTTGTATTAAAGAGAGAGTCTATACCGCATGCATACTAGACTAATCCCACCCACAAGGTCAGTCCAGATTTAAAGGGACACTATAGTCACCAGAACTACTACCACTTAATGTAGTTGTTCTGGTGAGTATAATAGTTCCCTTCAGGCTTTTTTCATGCAAACACTACCTTTTCAGAGAAAAGGCAGTGTTTACATTGACTCTAGGGACACATCCAAGTGGCCATTCCTTACATGGCCACTGAAGGTGCTTCCTGGATCAGTGCTACCGAAAAAGGACGCATGGAGACGCTGAATTTTCCTCATAGAGATGCAATGATTCAATATATGTTTGTGTTCCTGACCCTATAATGTTCCTTTAAAATGTCATGCATGTTCCCTCTTGACCAGAGACACAGTAACTTCACCTTGATGGACCTTACCAGTAAGTTGTATCTTATATTTTGAGTATAAATTATACTTTGATTTAAGGAGACCCTATGTTTGCAAATCAACCGAAAAGTGGTCTAGTGGAATGTTTATCTGGCCTCCAGCAAGTTTTTAAATAAATGTTCTAATTACTGAGAAAACCTTTCACTTTTACATCTATGGATGACCCATCCACAAAGGAAGTCCAGAAGCAAAATGCCAGGCAGATGATGCTGCACAAGAGCTACAGCAATCCAAATTATAACATTTCATTTAGGTGTGTTTTTCTTTTATCCTCCTTCTACCTTGTTTGACATATTACATGCACATTTTCGTTTTATACATGTATCGAAGCATTCGCAATGTCATTACAGAGTGGGTCACAACGTATACTATATACTGTAGGTCTGAATCCTCACAGAATTGGGACACAGCAGCTTGACAGCAAATATACATATTCATATAATAACTATACAAACCAAGTAGCCATTAATTCCAACATTTCTCACAGTATTTACATACTCCATAGACATACGTTACCAATCTAGTGCACGTTGTGCATACCCTGATTATACCAAATGTATCAATAGTCCTTTATTCAACTGAACAGATCCAATGTTGGACTCAGTAGCAGAAGCTCCCCCACTAATGTATGTGCCCCCTTGGAACTCCATTCCTATGTTGCCTCACCACAACCAAACAAAGACCGGATGGCTCGTGGAGGAGCTTGAAAGCTTTTTAGACTACTTATAGACTACAGACAGTCTGTGTGAACTTAAACTGTGACACTGATCCCAGATACTGTAGCAACCTACTTTACACATGGTTATTCATGTTGCAGTTTCACTTTTTACTTGGGCCGGAACCTCTTTGTTCATTGTACTTTTTTTACACAGGAGCATAACTCATTTCACAATATGACACATCATAGTTTTTTATATCACCATTAACCTCTCCCACGCATACTTTGTGCCTGAAAGGTTATACAATTTCAATATTGTTTAGGCAGGTATGTGCTATTTACATATAAGGCAATGTATACCAATGCGGAGAGACATTTGACATTGTCAATGCCAGGGAACAATCACCCCAATCCTATGTTCATAAACTCCATGTAATCTATCATGGCAACCCCTGTAAACACCTCTCCCTGGGTGTTATAGATGTATCTCACTGTACATATCAACTATGTATCTACTTATCCCTAAGCATCCCTCTTGTAGACGTCTTTGAAAATGCCATGACTGTCACTCATCTCTCATTAAGGTTTGCTCATCTTCCTCTGCTGTGTCTATTTCCCCCATGTTTAACCTTTTTGACTGCCATCCAGTAGTTCTCAGCCTGTTTTTCTCACGAAAAGTTCTTTGGTGATATGTACTGTTCATGACAGGCCAGCAGCCACAAAAGGTGTATGTCAAGAGACTCCCACAGCACATACATCAGCATGACCCTGTATATAAGCAATCCATAATCACAAAAGATGGAGATATATAGACTGGGGGGATAAGAAACCAAAAACTGTAGCAAAATAGGGAAATTGATGGAGGAATAGGATAGAATTAGAAAATACTGGAAATGTACCTCACCTAGCAGGTGTTATGAAACATATTCTTGTTATATGGTTTAATATCTAATTTAAGTGTAATATAACAACATCCTCATGTAAATATCTATCTATCTTCTATTGCAACACGTTCCATATGATGCTATGTGAAGGAAGGTCATGTTAAAGCACATATAGCCAACATATGTGTTTAAACACTTATGGGCAGAATGTTTGTTTGTAATTCATTAAGGTATAAATAAAATTAAAAACCATATCAGCACTAAACAAGGGATTATAGGGCATGGATCAATAACTATAAAAAAAAAACGGACTATATCCTCTCTTTGTAAAACATCAGATATGTGTCAAGATATTACAATATATCGTTTATATATGTTGGGGTTTATAAACTAAAATCCAAATGACATTTTACTGAATGTAGCAAAATAATTTGAACTGCAAAATCTGGACATTGCTCACACTATTTAATGTCTGGAGTTTATAGCCCTGAATGGGCCTTTTCTAAAGACTAGGTAGCAATAGCCGCTCAGTCGCTAGTTTTAAAGATCTAACAGATATGCTTAATCACACATGCCGCATGCTAAATGAAGGCATAGGGGGAGGAAATACCTCCATTTTAGAAATATCGGGGTCTTATTTTCCTTATTTTTTTACATTTTTTAATGTTATGGCTGGCCACCAACCACATAGTTAACCCTCGTATTGCAGAAGATTATTTAATTATTTACCCACTGGCTGATAGTGTTGTCAGCTAGCGAATAGTGTTTAAAATGGTTGTTCTCTTTCATGAAAGTGAGTAATAATTTGTGACTGTGCATTCTGCTGGAATTTTGTTGAAACTGGTGCTTTGTGAATCTATAGGATTTGAATGAAAGAACACTGATTTTAATCTGGATATTGAATGTATCTGGGCGATTGCTATAGATTAGCTCGGGTCGAACGGATTTTGGCTTTAATAAATATGAGAATTGCCAGTGTGATTGGAATTCAGTCATTTTCACCTGATTTTTTTCCTTATGGTTAGTGAATAACACCATGAGTTATAGAAAATATAATGGCTGCTGAACAAGATGCAAGTCAGTATTACTGCTCCCAATGGCAAAAAAGTGAGTGGATAAGCAGGTGCTGCTTAAAAGAACTGAGCAGTGAAACTGCGATCAGGATCTCCTGCATTGACAGTATTACAAATTATTAATGTCCATTTCGCATTTTAAAAATATTTCATAACATGAATACATTTACTAAATGCATATATAATAAAACTATTTTATATATATTTTTTTATTTTTTATCTATTTCTTGCTTTTGGTGAACATTTACGTTGTCCTCTATTTTGCATTAGACTGTTAGTGCCAAGACTGTTCACAAGGTATGGCAAATTTTATGACTTCTTTCTATGGTCTTAATATACAAATATCCTGCCAATCCATTTTTAAGATATCTATTATTTTTATTAGACATTGCAAAATATATGTGGTGCAAAGCGAAAACACATTTCACATCGATAAAAATGATCTGTGTCTTCGACGTTCTAAACAGAATTATTAATATCTGATGTTTGTATTCCCCACCATTCAGTTAGAGGGTACTGTGAAAACTCAAATTTAAATGTGTACATTAATCATTTTCAGATTTCCAACATAAAACTTTATTTACATATGTTAACACTTAGACGTTTCTAAATGTTTCCATTTACAAACAGGACTTCTGGTTTTAAGACTGGTCACACAATAATTTTTTCCATCTTTTCTACAGAAACAAGGCCAATGGGCATATGTCAAGCCAAGCATGCTTTGCTGATGGTTCCATGAACTGGTCTAAGAGTTCATAGGTTTTCCACTAACTTGCAGTCTATGGTGTGTATATGGTAGCAGGGGCGGACTGATGTCAGTAGATTGCCAAGGGACTGGGCCCGGCAGTTAGCTCCGGCTGGCTGCACTAAATGCTCTTGGCTGGGAGACTGTGACTGCCAGATCTCCCAAACTGTGAATTGCATAGCCCAGCTTAAGGCTGCTCCTGCAACCTATCTCTTTCTGTTTCCCCCCTCTGCCTCCCCTCCACCCCCACCTTCTGAGACCTGGCAGTGATCCTGCTGCTCCTGCCAGGTCTCCTCCATGTAAAGACTGCGGAGCCCCGTGTGAGGGGGAAGAGGCGGGGCCGAAAGAGGGGAAGTTACATCACTTCCTGTCCTGCAGAATCTGCTGAATCCTGGCCGACAGCAGGTAAGTAAATATTATTTTTAAGCTAATATCCCCCCATACCCACCCCAGCCCTGTGCCCCCTTCACCCATCTCAGCCTTGTGCCACCTTCACCCATCCCAGCCCCTGTGCCCCTTCACCCAACCCAGTCCCTGTGTCCCTTCACTCATCCTAGCCCCTGTGCCCTCTTTCACCCACCTCCCAGCCCTCAGTGCCTCACCCACCTCTGTGCCCCTGTGCCTCTTTTCACCCACTCCAGCTCCCTGTGCTCCCTCTTTGCCCACCCTAAAAATTCCTGTGCCTCTTTACCTACTCCCAGCTCCTGTGCTTCCTCTCACCCACCCCAGCCCTGTGCCTCCTTTCACCCATCCCAGCCCCTGTGCCCCTTCACTCATCCTAGCCCCTGTGCCCCCCCTTTTCATTTCCCAGCCTCTGAGCCCCCATGTTCCCATCCCAGCCCCAGTACCCCCTTCACCCAGCCCAGCACCTGTGCCCGCTTCACCCATCCCAGCCCCTGTGCCCTCCTTCACCCATTCCAGCCCTGTGCCCTCCACCCATTCCAGCCCTGTGCCCTCCTTCACCCATCCCAGCACCTGTACCCCCTTCACCCAGCCCAGTACTTGTGCCCCTTCACCTATCCCAGCACCTGTACCCTTTCACCTATCCCAGCCCCTGTGCCCCCTTTCACCCATCCCAGCCTCCTAGTGCCTCTTTCACCCATCCCAGCCCTGTGCCCCCTTCACCCATCCTAGCACCTGTACCCTCTTCACCCATCCCAGGCCTTGTGCCCCTTCACAGCACCTGTACCCCTTCACCTGTGCCCAGCACCTGTACCCCCTTCATCCAGCCCAGTACTTGTGCCTCTTCACCTATCCCAGCACCTGTACCCCATTCACCCAGCCCAGCACCTGTGCCCCCTTCACCTATCCCAGGCCCTGTGCCTCCTTTCACCCATCCCAGCCCCTGAGCCCCCTTTCACCAATCCCAGCCCCAGTGCCCCCGTCACCCATCCCAGCCCCAGTGCCCCCTTAACCCATCCCAGCCCCAGTGCCCCCTTCACCCATCCCAGCACCTGTACCCCCTTCACCCATCCCAGCCCCTGTGCCTCCTTTAACCTATCCTAGCCCCTGTGCCTCCTTTCACCCATCCTAGCCCCTGTGCCTCCTTTCACCCATCCCAGCTCCAGTGCCCCTTCACCCAGCCCAGCCCCTGTGTCCCTTCAATCATCCTAGCCCCTGTGCCCCTCTTTTCATTTCCTCTGTGCCTCCTGAGCCCTCTCCCATTTCCCAGCCTCTGAGCCCCCCTTTTCCTATCCCAGCCTCTGGGCCCCATGTTCCCATCCCAGCCCCTGTGCCCCTTTACCCATCCCAGCCCCTGTGCCCCCTTCACCCATACCACCTGTGCCCCCTTCACCCATCCCAGTCACTATGTCCCTTTATCCATCTGAGCCCCATTTCACAGCCCCTCTGCCCTCTTTATCCATCTGAGCCACTATGCCCCTTGACCCACCACAGCCCCTATGCCCCTTTACCATCCCAGATCCCACTCCGCCTTCACCCACTACAGCCCTATCGTTCTCATTCCTATCCTTCCCTGTACCCACCACAGCCTCTGTGCGTTCTTGTACACTACTCAGCCTCTCTCTCCATGTACCCACCTCACCCCTATGCCTTCCTGCACCCACTACAGTCATTATAACTCTCATCCCTATCCCTCCCTGCACTCACTACAGCCCCTATCCCTCACTGCTTCCACTGCAGCCGCTATCCCCCCACCGTCCGTATGCCCCCCTGCACCTACTATAGCCCATATCCCCCCTCATGCACTGCAGCCACTATCCACACACATACTGCAGCCTCTGTATCTCCCCCACACAGTAGAGCCTCTAGTATCATACAAACATACACTACAGTCCCAGTATCCCCCAGCTGCCTACTAGAGCCCCTATCCCCCCCCACACACAACAGCCCCTATCCACACACTCTCTGCAACACAACCAGCCCTCTCCACTAACATACAACACTGCAAACAGCTCCATACACACACACAAACCCACAAGGAACCTCACTGTATGCACGTAATCCCACAAACAGCATCCCCACACATTCAATACCACATGCAGCCTCCCTACACAAATATCACAAGAGGTATCCTCAGCATGGCAATACTGCATACAGCCTCCTAATACACACACACACACATCACAAGAGGCATCCCCAGCATGGCAATACTGCACACACACACACATCACAAGCATCTTGCAATACTGCATACAGCCTCATATACATACACACATCACAAGAGGCATCCCAGCATTGCAATACTGCATACAGCCTCCTTATATATACACACACACACACACACACACACATCACAAGAGGCATCCCCAGCATTGCAATACTGCATACAGCCTCCTTATACACACACACATCACAAGAGGCATCCCCAGCATTGCAATACTGCATACAGCCTCCTTATACACACACACATCACAAGAGGCATCCCCAGCATTGCAATACTGCATACAGCCTCCTTATACATACAAACGCAATTATTACAATTACTTATATAGCACCTACATATTCTGCAGCGCAGTACAATAGGTAAAACAAGTCAAACAATTAATTCTAATTCAACATGTTGACATACAGGAACACAAGCAGCATCCCACACATGCAACCACACAAGTAGCCTCCAAACACGTGTTTGGAGGCTGCTTGTATGGTTGAACATGTGGGGGATGCTGCTTGTGATGTCACCAACAAACACAGAGGAAGTGTTTAATTAAATTTGCTTTATGTCTTAATTTTAATGGGGGGAAGGGGGGAGGGGAGTGTAAGGCAAGCTATTAAGGGGTACTCCACTCAAAAACTCCCTCTGCATGCAGACACTGAACTTTCCTCATAGAGATTCATTGATTCAATTCATCTCTATGAGGAGATGCTGATTGGTCAGGGCTGTGTTTGAATCATGCTGGCTCTGCCCCTGATCTGCCTCTTTGTCAGTCTCAGCCAATCCTATGGAGAAGCATTGTGATTGGATCAGGCTACCAGTTCTGATGATGTCAGCACACTGCTTGTTTTTCTGATGACTAACAGCATGCAGAGTTACAGATTCAGGCTTGAATACAATAAGATATTTACTATATTTATGGAGCCATGTGGGCCCAGCGGGGCTAGATGGTGGTTTTAATACTATAGAGTCAGGAATACATGTTTGTGTTCCTGACCCTATAGTGATCCTTTAAATTCAGCAATGTCAATATTATCTGCCTGCAGAGAGAAGGAACTTACTCTGGCTTTGAAACCAGGGGATAAATCTAGAATATATTGTCAAAATATCAAAATGTAACCTTTAGCAATGTTTTGCTCTAGAAGTCATAGGGATAAAAGGCTAAACTGTCGGAGGACTAACATTCACATGAAGCTAAGATTAGATATAGCTAAGGAAGGGAGTGTGACTATTTGCCCTTGACAAAAAAGACAATCAAGGAGAAACACAATTTCCCCGTTGATTCCTCTTCTTGTGTTTAATTGTGCTTACCATCCTTATTTCCACTTTATATCTATTTTCCATGTGTGTACTTCAGAGAGTTTCTCACTTTGAATTCTGGCTTTAATAAACTCTTATCACAGATATAGTCAATTTATATCTCCCACAGCTAAGAAACTTTGAATAAAAAGTTTAAGTATATTAATTACACACATATTAAAAAAGACGTTCTTCAACAATTTGCCTCCTTCTTCAAGCAATTGAAAATATTTGCGCTACAATTGCTGAAACTCAAACTAAGCATTTAGTCTGTTTTGTCTTTTAAAGTAACAAACCGTGAAATCGATCAATTTTTAGTATTACTCCTATTTATATATATTTTTTTTTGTTTAAAAAACATTGGTATGTTAGTCTGTAAAGGTATAACAGTCAGAATGTTATAAATTACAAAAGTTAAACGTACCACTTGGAAACTGAAAATGCATTATCAAAGTAAAATAATGAGCAATGCTATAGACACTAAGATGATACAATATCTAAACATGAACAAAAGATCTCTCTACAACAGATTGCACAGAATCTAATTGGGGGTGGGGGACATGTGACCAGTGCCTTGTGACCTATAGATAAACTGTTTGTACAAGATGGTCTTTATGGAGCGACTGTATTCTGCATGATCTGGAAAAAATAATGATCTGAGAAAATAAAACTAGTACTAAACAGATATTTTAGGCTCAACATAAAGAAAATCTCTGCAAGCCAAATGAACAATAAAGTTCACTCATGCCTATAATTGGGAAAATTGGGAGCCATAAATTGAAGGAGTTTAGGGAGTTAAATGGAGGAGATTGGCTTCTTGAATGCACAAATAAGCAGAACTCACAAGTAAAATAGGTTTTGCAGAACATTTGAATGAGAGGCATGCACCATTCATGAATTGTTTTAAGCAACTGTCTGTCTCTTGAACAGGAATTAGGTGATTAGCAACATTAGTGGTATTTTAATGGAGTTTAAAAAAAATAAAATCCAAATGTGTGAACGGGAAAGTGTGCTTGAGTTGGAAGGTACTAGAGCCACTAATTATGCCTCCGTTTAAAATTATTGATAAACTTACAAAATGAGTTAATATTTTTAGATATATTTTTAAAATTATTTTTTTTAATTATTTATTACTACACAAATATTAAAATTTTGTAATTTTGTATATATTTTTTATTGAGTAATTGATTTCATCCATATCAAAATATCTTATATTTTTTGATATTCTAATAGTTTTGAAAAAAAAAATCATTATCCAAAAATATGAAATCATTTGGGAAGTGTATCCAATAATATTAAATAAAGGCCTACATTACATAATAAATGAATTAAAATTACCCAGGAAAGCTCTAGGTTTGTCTGATAAGATGAGTTTTAATAGAATTATTGCATGTATATGTATATTTATAAACAAGGCTTCTTTTTAGGGATTTTATCAGACTGTGGAAAGACTGTTTTAGAATATATGTATACGATTACATATGTATCAATTATATGCATGTAGCCACCCATTCAAAAACCCTAACTGAAAAACTGTACATCGTTTGACACTTGCTCCAGCATATATTAAAAAATGAATTCAGGGCTTGAGTCCTGCAGGAACGCATGGGAACGGCGTTCCTGCACTTTTTCCACAGCAGGAACGCCGTTCCCGTTACCTGTCCTGCAGGACTCGAGCCCTGCTACCTGTACAGAGGGGCCATCACAAGCTGTGTTCCCCCTCCAGCTCTAACTCTCGCGAGACCTGCGGCTGTTACCATAGCAACGCTCCGCACAGGCGAGTCTCGCGAGAGTTAGAGCTGGAGAGGGAACACAGTGTGCGATGGCTCCTGTGTGCAACGGCTGGTTCCCTCCACCGGACCACCAGGCGATCTCACCCCTCCCTGACAAGGTAAGAAGCAGGGAGGGGGGAATAAAATAAACATATAAAGTAAGAAAAAAATGCTTCCCCTCCCCATCATCCAGCACACACACACCCATCATCCAGCACTCACACACACACATCATCCAGCACTCACACACCCATCATCCAGCACTCACACACACACATCATCCAGCACTCACACACACATCATCCAGCACTCACACCACATCATCCAGCGCGCACACACACACACACACACACACACACACATCATCCAGCACTCACACACCCATCATCCAGCCACAATAATACCCATCATCCAGCACACACACCCATCATCCAGCACACACACACCCACACCATCCAGCACCACACACCCATCATCCAGCACTCACACACCCATCATCCAGCACTCACACACCCACATCATCCAGCACTCACACACCCACATCATCCAGCACACACACACCCACATCATCCAGCACACACACACCCACATCATCCAGCACACACACACACACATCATCCAGCACACACACACACATCATCCAGCACACACACACACACATCATCCAGCACACACACACACAGATCATCCAGCACACACACACCCATCATCCAGCACTCCACACACACACACACCACCACATCATCCAGCACCTCACACACCC